TTTCGAGACTATGATAGCGACAAGTTGTTTACTATCATCAATTACGGAATAGAAAACACACATTCTGCACATTGGTTACCAATAATATATATACTATATATTGTTGATTAGCATGTGCTGTGGGCCCAGTTTGCCTGCACCCTTGTAATCTCATCAAACCTTCGCCTTCCTCAGTATAGCGAATGAGCCCAATATCGATTACTGTGCTGCTAAGTGTGTATTCGTACAGAACTTAAGTGCAGGTAGTGCGCTTATTGTTATTGTCCAAGGGTCGTAGTATTGGTTGCTCTAGCTCAAGTTCCCTTGTTGTGTTGTTCTTAGAGTTCATCAACCGATACCCCGACACATGCTCTAACGTGTGTACGTGAGGACTATCGCATGCGTGCTGCTGCATAACTTCGCACGTATGTACAAGCGGAGGAGTTGAACTAGTTGTTATTGTCGGGGCCTCCGACTCGGAGGTATGAGTCTACTACTTGTTAGTTCGTTCTTACCTGATATCTTGTCTACCGTGTTGGTAAATCCATAATAATATCAAATTGGCACGCACTCTATGTGCCGGGTTCCCCCCCCCCAAAAAAAAAATCTTGCATTATCTGAAATTTTCCGCCCGAAATCTATCATTTTTCGGAATTTTAGGAGGACGAACCTCTTGGTGATAGTTTTGTAATTGTGATTCTCTCCTAGTTTCCTAGAGAAACAGAAAATGTTTTTTTCTATTTTTGATTTTCTGAATTCATTTTCTAACGATATTCAACTGCATCCAATTAACCCCACTTCCATTCTGGCGATAAGACTCAGAGCATTCACGGAACATGTCAACTCTCAACTGCTCCCATACCAAACCTCATACCATTCGAAAGGTTTTATAAAGGGCTCCCAGATGGTGTCAGAGATGTTGGAAGACTCGCCGGAACTCACGAGAAGTTCAAATTGTACGTTCGTCAGAAAGTCACTGATAATGGAACAGGTCACACTTTGCTGCTATTTCACTCGATTGATATCTGTATAATTGCCCTTTCTTACAGTTTCAAACACAAGCTGCTCTGAAAAAGGTTAGCTGGGCAACTTTTTCTTCCAGACACGCTGTAGATCTATTCCGAATGGTATAGTCCACTGGCATAGCGGCCCCGCCCCTATTCCCCAAATAGATCTATTCCGAATGGTATAGTCCACTGGCATAGCGGCCCCGCCCCTATTCCCCAAATAGATCTATTCTGACTGGTATAGTCCACTGGCATAGCGGCCCCGCCCCTATTTCCCAAGTAGATCTATTCTGACTGGTATAGTCCACTGGCATAGCGGCCCCGCCCCTAGTTCCCAAATAGATCTGTTCTGAATGACCACACACGTACGTTTCCTGCATCTCGAATAGGATCTATATTTTGACAATATTATTGTCTGATCTTCCCCGCTGATGGGCACCTATAGCTGCCTCTGAGTGTGTTGATTTATATCCATCACCACAACTCCACTCACAATAGTCGTTGAGGACACTTAGTCTTCAATTCGGTCAACTCAGCTAACTCGAAGAGAAGATCAGTGCTCAGTTACTGAGCCTCAGTATGCTCTGTCCCGTCGAACTTGGGATTCTGATTGACCGCCTGTGATCTTCCCAAGTTGGTAATCCCAATCAAATGAGGTAGAATTTCGATTTTTCTGAGGGTGTTAGTGAGTTTCATTACAGTCCCTTTGATGATCTCTGGTTCTGATAATTCTACTCTGCTCCCTCGTTGATTTACCATACTATCCTATCATACGTAGTATATTACTGTAGAATGCCTGTTGTCCAAAAACTTTCCCATTCTTCCGCCACTTGCGCGTCTTACTCCGGGAAATCACACGCCCTCAAAAGATTATTTCCAGTTTGACGTAGATTATGTCCAGTTACGTGAGCAGTAGCAGTTCGCCCATTCCGGGAACCATGAGTTGATGGAAACCCCCAATTTCGCAACATATTTGTCATTCAATATCATTCTTCAATTTTGGCGGAGGCGGTCATTCTTCCGAGTAAGCTCCCAGCGGACTTCAACATGTTAATCAATCCAACTCCTTCCCAACCAAAACATGAACCGGTCACTCGTTTGTTGGTCCAGCCCAATGAATTGACCTCCATCCACGTACGGTCACCGTCAAACACGAACGTGTAAGAACTGTGCAGATCACGTGTCTTCAGTGAAGACTCTTCACGCATCATGGCAGTACCATGACGTCCCACGTCTTTAACGGTCCTGACAGCGACTTCAACCTTTAAGAGAACATTCCGAAGTGAGGTCCATTGACCCATGATTTATGATGAAAGTCCACAAGCACGGGTTTCTGACGACCCCCCTATTGGAATGTTCTCGGGAGATCCTCGGTCGCATCAAACTTTCACTTGACACTGATATTCTCCTCGGTCATGTTGCGACACGGTTGTGACACTGTCACGACATGCGTTCGTGCGACACGCATGACCTGTACAGTTCAGTGCACTCACGTGCCATGCGGACTCTCTACGTTTCGTAACACGTAACGTCGGAGGCGCTTCATGTGCGAGCATCTTCGATCGATCGTGGTGCGGCGTGGAACAGGCCAGAATCGTAACTAGTACCTCTGGTATACTATACCAGGGATAGAATAGCACTATAGGACTGTTTACTGTAGCTTTTTCCGCCGAATCCATGTTCAATCGCCTCCTCCAGCTCATACTCGTCGGTGTTGCTCTATCCCACGAGCTTGATGGTTCATATGTCAACAAGACCGTGAGTGGACCTTTTCTGAATTTGATGTATACATTCTCGGACAATGCTCAAAAAGTGGAGATTACTTTCTCTTGTGGGTCTGGTGTCAGACCAACTAGGGCGACCTTTCCTGTCCTTAAGCGGGCTGATACGCTCTACACGATACCTACCACGATTCCGGGAACCTCAACACCGAAGCCTGATTGGACCGCCTTCGTAGATATCTTTGAGGTCAAATGCTCAGGGTACAAACCTCTGAACGCAGCTGACTTGTGGCTTATTACCTACGATAAAAAGTTCGACCACTCGCATGTTTCGCTCAAGAGCAAGCTCTTGAAGCTGGTACACAGAAACCCCCCTTCCCATTAGTTGATAATTTCCGACACTTGAATTATTATTATTACTATTATTATTATTATTATTATTATTATTATTATTATTATTATTATTATTATTATTATTATTATTATTATTATTATTATTATTATTATTATTATTATTATTATTATTATTATTATTATTATTATTATTATTATTATTATTATTATTATTATTATTATTATTATTATTATTATTATTATTATTATTATTATTATTATTATTATTATTATTATTATTATTATTATTATTATTATTATTATTATTATTATTATTATTATTATTATTATTATTATTATTATTATTATTATTATTATTATTATTATTATTATTATTATTATGTTGTTGGACGCACAGCCAAAGCTGGTATTGAGATCAATAATAATACATACTATCAATCTCAGAATCACAGTGCGGCCAAGGCAAACACTGTGATTATAACATCCATTTATTGTACACCCACAGAAGGGCCCCCTAACACACGCCTTAGGATATGGATAGTACTAATACTAGCCACACGTTGACATGTGTTTATATCCACCCCCGATAGAAAGGCATCGGTTAATACCTTCGGAAGGGATCTCGATATCACCCCCGTAACCCCCAAAACTATAGGTACTAATTTAATTGAATATCCTGGAAACAGTATTATCAACTCTTGCAATAGAGGCTGATATTTACACCTTTTATCATCCTCTTTGCGGATAACACCGAAATCATTGGAAACAGCAACTTCACCAACAATGATAACCTTTCGAGCATGCATAATACATAGAATATCAGGCTTGTTATGCTCAATCTTATTTATAGTACTTATCTTCTGATCCCAAAAGAGCTCCCCCTCATCCGTCTTCACAAACGGGGGCCTGAGCCTTGTCCACCAACATTGTTGAAATTCAGCCCCAATGAGATTGCAACACTCACGAAATATTATTTTACAAATTCTATTGTGCCGATCTAGGTATTCCGCATTTGCTAAAGTTCTACATGAAGACGCTAAATGAAATAATGTCTCAGATTGTTGGCCACACAACCTACATTTACCACCATCAACCACTACAGGAAACGCCTTCGTGGCAATAGATAATGTTCTTAATGCAAGTATATCAGATTCATGCTGAGACGAAATTTTGACCTTCTCTAACCACCCTAGGGAATTTTCAATATCTATACCTTCCTTCTCCAATTCTTTGATTTTCTTAAACCAACACCCAGCAGCCGGCATTTCATACAATTTTAATTTTCTATTATCATCTAACACTTTAAAATGCTCCCGCGTAACCGACCTATCACTTTCTACCCCCAATTGCGTTTTTATTTTATCTGCCCTTCTAATGATTTTACACAATGGATTAGTCGTTTTGATGTTAGGAATTACATTGATTATATTATCTTTGATATACTGACTTATAAACACCGAGAATTTTTTCCAAACATCTTCTATATTAGTCAATCCACGACCCCCCTCTTTCCTAGATACATAAAGTAATTCAGTGTTGGAGATGTATCCATGAGCGAAATATTTCCTCAACGCATTTCGAATTGTCGAATCCAGCTTAACTACAATTTTCTTCCCTAGTAAACCCGCTTGGATGGGATAATATACTACTGGAATGGCCCATGTATTTAAAGCTCTGATGGTGTCCACCGCTGATAATTTAGCTTCTAATATGACCTTAATACGCTTATGAAGTATATTCTCTACATTCCTAGAAACCTCCTCTTTATCAGGTAATAGATTTTGTGGAATTCCCAAATAATTATAATTATCACTACCTAAATATCTAACATTATTGAGAATACCAACTATATCGTGTGGCTTGACAATATCAACCACTCCTTTCCTAATATTTATCCAAGCACATTTAGGCCATCCGAATCTCAACCCAGCAAACCTACCTACGGATCTGGTACACTCGAATTGGGTTGTGAGTTCATCCAAAGTTCTACTGTATAATTTCAAATCATCCACGAATAATAAATGATTTTTCTTGTGATTTCTACTATTTCCAAAATAATACCCCCCATCTAAATTATTAAGAGCCTCTGAAATCGGCTGAGTTCCGGCAACAAACAAACATGGAGACAGAGAGTCACCTTGGAATATACCTTTTTCTACCTTCACCATTCCATTGTCTAACGTTCTCCCCTGTATATGAAGATTCAATTTCCATTTTGTCATACATTTTGAGATGAAATTCGTAATTTTATTTCCTATACCAAATTTGTCTAACCAAAATTTAATCCAAGTATGTGAGAGTGAATCATATGCTTTAGCAAAATCGACCCATCCACATGCCATGTTATGTTGCGAGTTTTTCGCATGATGTAGTATAGCTTGATCTAGCAAAAGCTGGTGTGTACATCCTCGTTTGCCTGCCCTACATCCTAGTTGTTCTTCGTTGATAATAGCATACCTTTCTAAATGTGCTGTCAGCTTTGTGGCAATAACACTAGTCAACAACTTGTAAATAACATTGAGGCATGTTATTGGCCTGAAGTCACCTGGAGTTCGGTTTTGACCATTTTTCAATGGTTTTGGTAACAGATGAGTTGTTCCCTGGTAAAACCATTCGAAATCATCATTGTCATCGGATACTAATACTGAGAAAGCTAGGGCCAATTTCGACACTAGTCCTGGAAAGACCTTGTACCAGAAGGCTTTCACCTTATCAGGTCCTGGGGCTTTCCATGGCCTCATTTTCTTTAATGCTTCATTTACTACCTCAGGTCCGATATCTTCTAACTCTAAAGTTGCTATATTTTTCCTCTGAAGCTTTCTACAATACTTTCTGCACCAACTTTCTTGCTCGAAACTATGGGTTTCTTCATATTCCCATATTTTGGACCAAAAATGTGCTACCTCATTATCTCTTATATTATTAACTTGTTCATCTATACAACTATTATCATTGGCTAGATCATTGGGTGATTTCTGCTGTAATACTTGAATTTCCCTATAGAGTTGTTTCTGGTTAGATTTCATAAGTCTCTCCAGCCGTACACGTTTTTCTTTCGTTGTCCATATTCGTAATTTGGCACTGACTTGTTTTAGCTGTAGAATCAGTCTACCTTGGGCATTCTGAAGCGCTGTTTTGGAATTACCAAATTGCTGTCTTATTTCCTTCGTAACTGTCTTGAGTCTCCGAGTGGGTTTATCAAATTGCTGTAAGTATGAAGTGACTCTGCCCAGGTCCCTCCTGATGGTTTTGAGTTTATCCTCTAATCTACGCTTGGCTGGTAATTTACCTCTTTTCTTACTTCTTGCTGGTTGTTTGACTCCTTGTTCCCGAAGTAGTACTGAAGCAGCTGCGTATACTACTTTACTTATCTTTTCTACCGTTGGGCAATCACCACATGCTATCACAACATGACTTTCTAGTATTCTAGCTCTTTCAGTTATGGCTTTAGTCCTTTCTTTTGGGTCTGGGAGTTTTTCCCTGTCATTAGGTGGAATATTGTCTACCTTTTCTATTTCATCTAAAAAGTCCTGAATCAATTGCATTTCCTTTTGACTCCTGGGATCTTCAGGAGCTTTAGGTCTGCCTCGTGTTCCTCTCATGTTCACTACTTCTTCATCCATTTGTTGCTGTTCATGCTGCGAGGATGATTGTCCCTGTTGTTGACTGGGGAATATCTCTTGATCAATAGATGGTGTTGGTTGTGTGTTTGTTTGCTGTATACACTCAATTGGCTCTCTATTAACTATCCTACTAGCATTCAATTTCAATTCAGAATATTCCGATTTTCTAGCGAGTTGGTACAAGTATGACGTAAGCTGCACCTTAGTTTTATCCGCCCTACCACCCCTCCTCACAAACTCACTTCTTATCCGCTCCCCTTTGCTACCTTTACAACACTCCTTATGTTTTTCCCAATGGGCTTCGGCCTCACATAAAAGTTGTTTTTCGGCCAACGTCCATTGTTGACGCCCAGTGGTGGACTTGTTACGAGTAACACCACTGCTGCTCTCCCTGTTCGCTGCCTCCTGCCTCGTTGGGTTGAGGGCCGGACCAAGCTGCGTCAGAACTCTGTCGCGGCGGGGACGACGTGGAGACGGTGGCGAAGACATAGGGCTTTAGGCCACACGATACAACAAGGAAACCTTTATTATTATTATTATTATTATTATTATTATTATTATTATTATTATTATTATTATTATTATTATTATTATTATTATTATTATTATTATTATTATTATTATTATTATTATTATTATTATTATTATTATTATTATTATTATTATTATTATTATTATTATTATTATTATTATTATTATTATTATTATTATTATTATTATTATTATTATTATTATTATTATTATTATTATTATTATTATTATTATTATTATTATTATTATTATTATTATTATTATTATTATTATTATTATTATTATTATTATTATTATTATTATTATTATTATTATTATTATTATTATTATTATTATTATTATTATTATTATTATTATTATTATTATTATTATTATTATTATTATTATTATTATTATTTTTCATTATTGGGCGTCCAGTTTGCGATTATTATCTCAGTACGTTGAATAACCCTGGATGGTCCGTCTCCAGTTCCGGAAGCTATCTCAGACCTTACCGTGACGTAGACTGACCGAGTGTTATAGTGATCGTACTCATATCATTGAGTCTTCATGAATATTGATGACTCTTCGCAGCATCCGTACCATTTCTTTCTCGCCTTTCTCTTCGTAGTGGGCAATGTCTACTGGTAAGCGGATCAATATTCTTTCCCACGCTTTACCTTATTTCCCGTACGTCTGCGTGATACTGTCACAGGCAGACCCAGGCTCTTTCATAGATCCTTGTCGTGATTTCATCAACAGGAGGATATCAGCTGAGTGGTCAACGCCTCTCATCGTGAGTACAATAGAAAATCTCCGTATACGTACCCCCTCGT